GCTATAACATGTCGAAATGAGACTGACTTACAGCACATGTATATCCTTGATCATCCGCTACAGTTATTTGTTGAATATTTTTTGGATTGAACGGATCGTTACAGTTGTTCGTGCATTGATAACATGTTAGACCACCAGTCAGCTGACTCAAAACTACAATTAGATCAAAATAAGATACTTTTTCTTGAAAAACAGGAAATTTACCAAGTAGAAGAAAGCAGGTAAGAGTAGCTCGTCGAAACGCAAACATACCAGTATTGATGATCAATACAAATCAAATGTATACACTGTCATGTTTACAATTATTCATGTCGTAAACAAGCAGAAAAGAAAAGAGTAAGCATTTAAGACAAGGTAAAAATATGCATATATGATGTTGGACGAGCAGAAAGGGAAAAAACCCTGAGGTCGTCTCTGTTTTTTCGTTATTTTTTTGATAAGCACATGGACGGTCTGTACATCATTTTTATATAAACATATTTTTGCAGTGCATTTTGACTTATTGTATACGTCAATCAATTGAAAACAGACCCATCTATCTCTTAAAGAAAAGAGATGCTCAATCTGGTAGTCTCAACTCTTGATTTTCAGCAATGAACTAAATTGAAAATTAAATAACAATAGAATAATAGTAATTAAATGTGTTTGAATTGAAAACCAACGAAAAAATGCAGTTATTTTCACCGATGCATTTCGTATCTTTTGCAAGATAGTACTCTTCAGGACTAGGGATGTATACGTATAGAATTTAAAAAAAGATAAACGAATAAAAATTGACAAGCAAATAAAATGTATAAGTTTGAAAAAGAACGACGTTATATTTATGATACAAAGAGGAATGAAAGCTGATAATGGTGCTTGTTTAGACCGTCCAAAAAAGAATATTAGTCGAATATCTACAATGAAAACTTCGTTTAAACAAGCACTTTTTCTAATTAGCATTTACGTAATGAACACTATGTTGTTGTAGGTGTTGTTCAATAAATTGTACTAATTGTTCTTCATTCCAATTTTTTTCAACAACCATAGCCAATTTTTTGTATAGCCAAAGATTGATTAGTAGCACTTTGAGTCATATCAGATCGACTGTGTTTTTTATTTAAGAATCCGTATAAAGTTTGGCGAAGTAGCACTTACATGGCTCGTCAAAACAGGAATACAGAGGCAAATCAAGTTCCCTTCTCCATGCCATATATTTATCTGGTTCAGAAAGATATTCATCACAAATACAAGCGATAGTCATTGATAAAATTCAATGAGCCTTGAGATATTTAAATAATTGCCATGAACATGGACAAATTAAATTACAATTATTTTGTGCTGTTATAAGAGATTCTTTCTTAAGTTGCAATTTTGAATTATACCATGTTCTAAACTGTTTTTCAACATTAACTGCACGATTTTATTTTCTGCACATAGACCAGAATATATTATCGTCTAAGAAGCTTTCGAAGGTCATATTTATTTCCTTCCACACCAAGATAGATGTTAGAGGAAAGAAAATTGAGCACAATAGATCTTTGGTTGGATAATATGATGTTGTAACGCACTATAGTGAATGAAGCATTTCGATAAGAAGAATAACTGATTTTTCCTGCTGTTGAAGTACAACTACAACTATTACGTACTTCAATGAATGTTGATCATACTGAGTAAGTAATGTAATTTGTTCCGTTTGTTTAACTTGCTCAGTTAATTGTGATAGCAGTTTAAATGAACTATTTCGATTAATAAAACATACTTCATAAGGATAAAATGATTGAAATATTGGTAATAGCGTGATAGTTTCTTTTCTTTTTTCTTGAACACTTAAGTTTTGTCGGTTGAAATGTTTTTGTTCCAGTGAGATATATTGCTGATTATTATTATCATTTTCTATTTTTCTGCAACACTAAAATCATCAGCAGAATGCAAATATAAATTATATGAACTCCTTTGTTATCAATCATTTGATTATCACTACTGTCAACATTTGCATCAGATAATGCTGTATTTTGTGTAAATATGTATAATCGTAGTAGATTAATCATGAAGCTAAATGGAATGATAAATACAATAAGTAGGAACTAAATCATTATTCTAATCGATCAACGCGTAATAAAGATATATCTAAATTAAAAAACAAGAAAACAAAATAGATTGATGATGCTGGTAACATAATCTCAGGACACATTTAGTTCCTATATATAGGATAAAAATACCAATCTAATGTTTTTTTTAAATTCTCAAATTATAATTTTTAACAAGCTGACTGTTTAAAAGTGTGAGTAAGTGTGGGACGTGGGTAGATGTGGGTATGAGTGTTGTCATTTTCTTCACCCACACCCTCATGTAATAGTCAATCAAGTCAATTTCAAATTATTAATCCTCCAATAATTAGAAAAAAGAAAAACTGTGGACAATTAATGAAGCGATCAAAGCATAAATTCAGATTGATTAATGTAGTATTAACAGAATCTAATAAGTCAAAAGTATTTCACTTAGGTCAGTTTGAAGATTATCACACGTAAATCTGAAGAGTATATGGATAAAATCCAAACATATAAATGTCTTGGTACAAACGATCCATTACCAGATTTAATTTAAAGTACAAGTAAATATTTATTAGACTTACGATTAGCTAAAGTGATTACTCAAAAACAATACGAAAAATGATGTATGAATCTAAATAAAGTTGACTTAGCACATTTATATCAATTGCTGAAAGTGCATAAATCTGATACTCTTCTCCATCCAATAAAGCCTGGTCTCAAGCATGCCACAATTAAAATCTCGAAACGTCTTGATAATTTACTTTGACCACTCGTCGATAAAATGGCGTCAAAGACAATTGTTACTTCGGACTTCGAACTATTCAAACAGTTACAAGAGTGGTCTAAAATTAACATGCGCCAAGGAACTTTATTCTGTATGATTGATCTTGTAGACCTTGATACAACGATAACAACAAACTGGGGGAGTACTTTCAATTAAAAAAAATGTTGGGCTATTTGAAATTGAAACAAATTGGTGGTTCGAAAACCGAAGCAATTATTCGGTTAAGTCGATGTGTCATGCAAAACAATAGGCGTGTATAACATGCGAAAGTTAAGGTCTACGAAGGTTGCACACGACGAAAGTTGCACATGGATTATTTGCGCATGAGATAAAATTCATATTAATACTCCGAAAGATAGTAAAAATACAAAGAGATAACAGAAGAAACAAAATTTCTATTTTATTTTCAAGATAATAAATATAGCAATTAAGTAGATAAACAAAGCAAAAAAATAAATTTTAAGTTGTTGCTATTGTATAGATATATGTGAATCAAGAAGTCATTATAATCTGATACTGTTATTCAATTATAGAGCAATATTATGTGCTATACCAGTTATTTGATAGATAATGTTTTGATGAGGAGTTAATACAGGATTAAGTAATCGTTTATCAAGATATTGATACTTCTTTTTTGTTAACAACTGGTTCACCGACATTGACTCGAACGATCTCGGTGTAAATATTAGAATCTCCTTCTAATATTATTTTTTCAATAAAATTTTATAATGTTGGATGTGAACATTGAAAAATACATTCTGAAATCAGAAAATTATTCATATATAGAAATTAGGTTTTTATTTTTATTTATAAGCATACTGATGCACCTGTTCCATGCCTCCGCTGAATTATTAGTTCGTTCATGGGCATTCCAATATTCAATAGTAAATAGTGGTCGTGTACGTGATCCATTTGCCCGAAAACGAACAATGTAATTATCTTCAAAATAATCTAACATATAGAGTTTGAAATGTATCGCCAAGATGGATGGCAAGATCTACGAATGCATTAATAACATCATTTGGATGAATAAAAGCTAATGTTGAGATTTTATGTGTGCCATGGGCAAAATCAACATCATCTTCGTATTGCTTTTGTAAACCTTGTATCTAGAATAAATGATGCATAATATTATCAAAACCCTATAGCTTACGTATTTTCTATGGAAGAAGTTAATAATATCTGTAATTGTCGATGGATGCTCTGACGCAGGTGGAAACAGCAACCAGATAAAGAAACTTGGGCAAAACTATTTGAAAGAACGTTTAAAACAGTTTTTTCAAAGTCCAGCATTATAGTTCGATGATTCCATGCTGGTGCAAATTCTAATATTTTATTAACCATTTCTTGATATGTGGTAGTGTTTTTTGTCGAAGTAAACAAAATGCAACAGGAATAACATGTTCACGATGTACAGCATGGATCACATAGAGCTGGTAAAATATTGCAGGAACTATCTAAATTAAAACAAAAACTTTCGGTTAGTAAAATATAGATTATTTTTTAAAAAGATATTTCGCATACATCAAAAGCTCCGTTCATCAAAAAATCAGTTGAAAATTCTAAAATTACAGTTTGTTCAGGGCTGCTAAAGACGAGCAGTCGATCAGAACCACAAGAAAAACATTAAAATAAGTGACTAATCGAGCTCGCTATTAAATATTTATCTTAAAACCATCAGGAGGTGTGTATTACTTACCTGAATCTGTATCAATACGTAAGAAAGTATCATTTCGTTTTGTTGATTGCAAAACTACAGGAACAGAGGAAAAATCCACATCATTTACTATTTGTGGTAAATCATTCTTTTTTCGATGTTGTTGAATTGTTCTTTTAATATGATCTAATGGTGGCAATCGTATATGTGCTGAATCAGGTAATTTTGATGTGCATTGTGATAATACAATATCTGTTGTTTCTTTAGTATTTTTTGCACGATCGGTTACATTTTCATGAAATCTTCTTAATGATATTTTAATTTGATCTCAATTGCAACTTGTTGCATGATTACCATGTTGTTTTAATGTCATAACATGTGCTTTAGTAACAGAATTATTACATGTATGTATACAATGATGACAATCCAAAGTTGTATGATTTTCACAACGCCAATAAGTTTTTGTATCGGTTCGGCGATCTTGACTATATAAACAACGATCTTTTTGTGGTAGTAGCGAATTCGATAGGAGTACACATATTTAAGAATAATTGATCATGAACTGTTTCGAATGTGAATGATCATTTATCATATATGAGAGACATTTGTTCTCAAAATGAGCTCATTTTAATGAGATCAAACTATCGAAAAGTCTACGCCTAATCATTACAGTTTATTATTGATTGGATTATATGATTACTCATTTGTAAATATGAAATTTTATCTCGTGCGCAAATGATCCATGCGTAAGTTACGCTTGCGGAACTTTGGAGTTCCCCCAAATCCAGACCAAATCTCAAATTTCAGAAACCAAATACAAATTCAAATCTCAAAGATTTAGTCCTAAGTCCCAAATCTATTAGAAATTTCTTGCACCCCTAAAGATAGAGAATGAAAAACTGAACAAAACTGTATATTAATAGATACAAGATATAGTTCTGTGGTTTTTACTATTGGAAACAGGAGATGCATCTGCATCAAAGCTTAGATTTCATGTTTTTCTAACAAACTTTTCCAGGATCTTCAGTCAAGTTTTAAGAAAACAACCACTGTTTTTTTTTCGTATTTTTGACGAAAAGTACACCTTATCAACCTATCTAAGCGTCGATTTTTAAAAACTTGATTGAACACCCTAAAAAAATTTGTCAGAAAAAACTGAAATACCAGCTTTGATACGAGTTCATCTTCTCTTTTCAACAGTCAAAATCGCAGAACTGTGCCTTGTATCTATTAAAAGTTATTCCAAAAATACTCATCATTCTTTTATTTTGAAATGGATAATAGATATAAATATATAGTGGAATTAAAAAAATGCCACCTTTTTGTTCGAATACATTTTTTTACTCTTTACACTATCTTTCATGTTCAACGTAAATACACCGAAAGATGCAGCGCGTTTTGGGTTTTCTCCCTTTACATAATGGGTTAAAAAATAAAAGAAATACAGCTATAAAAACAAGAAAAAACAAAGAGGGGAAATTCAATTGGTCCCTGTAGTACTCCATATTTTGTGAAAGATTCACTAGTCGATTTGTTTCAAATTGACTTATGTGGTCAGCATATCGTTAGAAATGATTTAAACACGTTAATGTTTTTTATCGCATATACAAAATTTTTAAAATAGATTCGAAGGCCATTCTGTTTTTGATGAATTTATTCAATCGATTTTCTGAACAAGAAAACAATATTAACTGAAACATGCTTTTCATGAAATATTGAATTCGAATATAGTCTCATTCTCAATCACTCCAAATTTAATAACAATTTGAAACTCGGAATAGTTACAATGGAAACAATTATTAAATATTGTGAAACATATAATATGATGTAGTTCTACATCTACTTTGTTAAGATATTGAAATACGATTTAATGATGTTCACCTTTATGAAATCTTCAATATTTCTTAAATCCTCGAATATACTACTCAGCATTTATCGTTTGTCAATTCCGTTATGAAAATAGTTTTATTTAAGAATTTGAGTATCTATTTCAAGTTAAGAAGAAAAGTATTTAGGTGACACTACTTCATATGCTACTAAATCCTTTACTTTATGAAAGTTCAAACAATTGATCAATGAAATACAAGAATTGTTTGAAAAATATTCAAAATAATGTGCAATTTAAAGTTTTAATTATTACAAAAATTAACAATCTCCTTTCAACGGTGGAGAAATTAACATAGAAAGAACCACTCTATGGTAAAAATGAACAATAACACCTGTTTCTTTAAAAATCATGTGTAGCTTTCCTTTTCCTTTTTAAACTCTTTTGCGTCTGTTTTTATATTTATCAACTTTTCAGAATTTCGTTTTCTCGCTTATGCTTAAAACATGTAATACAAAGCCCCGAGGAGTGTTTTAATATTTTAATAAATAACATGAAATGCCACGACGAAAACAACTCTATATTTTTTCTTTGATTTTTAATTCAAACACATTTATTTATTATTATTCTATTCTTATATAATTTTCAATTTACTTTATTGCTGAAAATTAAGAGTTGAGACTACCAGATTAAACATTTCTTTTCTTTAAGAGATAGATGGGTCTGTTTTCAATTGATTGACGTATACAACAAGTCAAAATACACTGCAAAAATATGTTTATATAAAAATGATGCACAGACTGTCCATGTGCTTATCAAAAAAAATAACGAAAAAACAGAGACGACCTCACGGTTTTTTCCCTTTCTGCTCGTCCAACATCATATATGCATATTTTTACCTTGTCTCAAATGCTTACTCTTTTCTTTTCTGCTTGTATACAACATGAATAATTGTAAACATGACAGTGTATACATTTGATTTGTATTGATCATCAATACTAGTATGTTTACGTTTCGACGAGCTACTCTCATCTGCTTTCTTCTACTCGGTAAATTTCCTGTTTTTCAAGAAAAAGTATTTTATTTTGATCTAATTGTAGTTTTGAGTCAGCTGACTGGTGGTCTAACATGTTATCAATGTACGAACAACTGTAACGATCCGTTCAATCCAAAAAATATTCAACAAATAACTGTAGCGGATGATCAAGGATATACATGTGCTGTAAGTCAGTCTCATTTCGAAATCTTATAGCAATCATTTGTTTGAAATAGAAATATTGGGTGGCAACTGGGAATGTGGCTCGATCTCCACTAAAATTTTGTACCCCAAACAATGTTGAAGGAATTGGTATGTTCTGTTGTTCGACAGATTTATGCAATGACGCCAACAAGATAACATCAATAGGTTATCTCATCTTCAGTTTGGGACTCGTCATTATTATTGTGTTGTTTTAAGACAATAAAGATAGTACATTATTTCGATACCTCACATTTTAAATTGATAGTTCTGATCTCATATTAGGTGATTCCTTTTGGTTTTTATTTATTTATGTGAACTTGCATACAATGTTTGAATTTTTAAAACGGTGAAGAAATAAACTAGTGTATCTATGGAATAAATATTTTGCCAGAAATGGTTGCAATGTGAAAGTGAGGATAAATCAGTCGGAAGACGAATTGATGATACAACCGTTGTGCTGTAGAAAAATTTTCAGCAGCTATGCCCTAGTCTCAAGGATGAATTTTGTATGCAATGATTGTTCTGATCAACCACAGAAAGATTGTACCGTTGACCGAAGAATAAATCGACAGAATAGAAGAGATGATTCGATTATTGTCCATAATAATTTCCATCAACAATAATATTTCTCTGTATGGCTTCATGAAGCAAGCACATCACTTGATGACTGCAATTGTCGACCACATATAGTTGAATCGACCAAACAAAGAGTTAAACTACATTTGTTGCTGTCTATGGCATTTATCATTGATATATTATCATTAGAAGAAAAGAAGCAATGGGTTGATGATGTATCTAAAAATATAAATAAGCTTTTACAGTATAACGAGATTAAATGCATCAAATAAATTGCTGGATAAGTGATTACGTAGAAATGCGAACCGTTTCGAAATGATAAAAGTTCAGAGCGCGCCCATCGACTATAAAAGTTGTTATAATTTTGACTTATTTATTTGACATTTAAAGAAAAGTATTATAAAAGCTCTCACAATATATCATAAATTTATAAAAGTCAGAGTTCGTGAGTTCCACACTTCGGTCCCGAAAGGAACCGCACTGACAAGTTTTGTGGAACTCACATATATTTTCAAAGAAAATAGTGAGTGTAAGTTTTAAGTTTAAGTTTTCGGGCTTCCCATGCCCCCCCCCCCCTCTCCACTCCATTACAGACCTTAGCAATCAATAATAAAAGGTGTTACATTTTCTAGAGTTTTTTTTTTTGAAAAATTGATCAAGTTATAATTTTGAGAAATAATGAATACCATTATTTGTGACTTCATTAATATATATGATGGTGTGTAAGATCTGCTGTACATATCATAGATACGTAAAACACACTTATTTGTCAATCAATTAAATGATAATAATAATAGGAATGATAAATTAAGAAAAACGAATTGAAAAAAATAAAAAAATAATGAGCGAATAGCAACAATACAAACAAAAAATAGAGCGCCCATAGAAAAAAGTTTTAAAAAATTCTGTTCGAAATGCAGAAATTAGAGAGGTTCTTACTCTTGTGATTGATTATTCCGCAAAACAACTATAGTCTAAGAGAGATTTTTCAGTTTACGTATTTTGTATTAGTTGAGTGAAGCTAGAGAGCATATATGAGTTCCACATTTCAGCCCCAAAGGGGCTGCACTAACAAGCTTTCTTTTTATTTAAGGCCCCCCCCCCCCCCCACTCAAAAAAAGTCAATTTTCGTCAAAAAAGTCGAAATGGAGATAAATGCATGAGAAGATAGGCCGTGATCTGCTCTTTCATAACTGATAAAAAGTTTTCCTCGATACCTCCTTTTTGTCCAAAATTCTCGAAGATTTTCGTCACTCCCTGTTCGAAAAACCAGCTGTTTTTTGAAAAATCAGAAGATGCTTTTCGTTTTTTCTCAGTTTATACTTTTTTGATCGTGTTTCCAAGAATTCTCTGTCCAGACTCATTGTATATATTTTATTTTACTTTTGTTTGAAAGAGCATGTCAAGCTTCGTCGCCTGCCAGAGTCCTTTTTTGTGTACTCAAAAAGTGAGTACACTCTAGAATCGGTTAGTGTGTCGTCCGTCCGTCTGGCCGTTTACACGATAACTTTTGAAAGGAGTCTGATTGCGAGGAAATTTTC